GGCTCCTCAGGGAGGCACTGGGATGGCTCCTCCGAGAGGGACTGGGATAGCTCCTCGGAGAGGGACTGAGAGGACACCTCGGAGAGGGACTGGAATGGCTCCTCTGAGAGGGGCTGGAATGGCTCCTCTGACAGTGACTGGGATGGCTCCTCTGGCAGTGACTGGGATGACTCCTCTGAGAGGGACTGAGATGACTCCTCTGAGAGCCACTGGAATGGCTCCTCTGAGAGCGACTGGAATGGCTCCTCCGAGAGGGACTGGGATGGCTCCTCTGAGAATGGCTGAGATGGCTCCTCTGAGAGGGGCTGAAGTAGCTTCTCTGAGGGGCGCTTGGATGGCTTCTCTCAGAGGAATTACATGGGGTTCTCTCCTTATAAAAGCTGTGGTGGTTTTGTTCCTTGTGTGTGAGTTTCTTTTGAAGGTGAATGTGTGAGGTTCTCTTCATAGGAGAACCATGTATGATTCTCCCTTGGGCCTGAATTCCAGTTCCTTTTTTGGAGTTCTTGGACTCCAGACTAGAAATTTCATTTCTGTAAGCCTTTTTCTTAACTCTTCCACTGTCATTTTGAACCATTCCCAAATGCTGTTTGACTGAGTTTATTTGGAAAGTGGTACTTCTTTGGGAAGCTGTAGACTTGGGTCTTTGGATAAGACTGGGCTGGAAAGAGATATCTCTTTTTGATTGTTGATTTGATCTGAAATGGTCGGTTCCTTCCCACAACATGCTTTCCTGCCTATGGGTTGAGTCTGGTGGCCTTTGATTGACAACTGACATCTTATCTCTTCTGTTATTCCTTGATAAGCAGTAGTCACTTAAATGGTAGTTTTTGCTTTGCCATAAATGGTCTGGCTTTGTCCTGTTCTCATGCTTCTGCCCAACAAAAGCCACAATTTTGTGTGCTGTTTGGAATGCCTGCTTTAGGCCCCAAAAAAGCAATTGAATGAATTTAGGTGGGGAGGATTTCTTAGGTTGTCTTTTTAAAGAAGCAAAAGTAGTCTTAGATGTTCCACTATGCTTCCTTTTGAACTGGGCTGGTAGTTCCCTAGAGGGACTCTGTACTGTGCTTCTACTATTTGTGTAGAACTTCTTACTTGGTGTTCTAACTCCTTTGGTGAATCTCTTCTTTGGATATTTTGATTTAGAGGTCTTTTTGCTTCTTACTTTAGCCCATTTTCCATCCTGAATGCTTTCAGAGTGACTCTCTGATAGAGCATAAACTTGAGTGAATTCATAATGCCTAAGCTTTCCCATTTCTGTCTTTCCTACTAAGCCAGAGCTACCACTTTGTCTTCTCCTGATGTGGACTTGAACAGGAGGAGGAGAATGAGAAGACCCAGAACGGAAATCTGTCGTTGCAATAGGACTCTTGGAAGCTCGAGTATGGATTTTAGTTTTCCTTAGTAATGGAGATGTAGAACTCTTTGGTGAAGTGGGTCTGTCTTTTCTGTGATACTTTGGGACTTGGGGTCTTTTGCCAGTTCGCAACCTAAAGCCAAGGTGCAACCTAATTTCTCCATGGCCTTCAGGAGTGCTTACAAGGTGGAGCTGTGGGTAGATAAGAAGGTAAGGCCCAAAAGTGGCCTGTGATTTATGACAGCAGTTAAATCCTGAACATCGGCCACACTGTAAGCAGATAGGGTATTTTAGGACCAGACCTGACGCTAGAGGTGGAGGAACATTGGGAGGTATTAGAATCCTTAACAGTTTTGCTGCTATTTTTAGCTGCAGATCTTGTAAGAGCTGGAATTGCTCAGAGAAGTCATTCTTGGCTTGGGGAAGACAACTTGGCTTGAGAGACTGTTGGGACTCAAAAATCCTTCTCTGTAAGTCATTCTGTGAATTTTCACCCTCTCCCACTGTAATAGGATCTTTACTATTGAAAAACATATTGAAGGAAGACTCATAATTGACTGGGGCAGGACATTCTGTATATGAAATAGGCATGTGCTGAATGACTTCCTGGGATATATTGCTTAGCTTTGTGTTTGTTTTCTTTATTTTCATCCTGGCTCCAGAGTACTGCCTTATTATAGAGGACATGGAGCCACGGGTCCACATCCTTATAGTCATTTTTTCATCATGACCATGGCTTGAGGTATGCCTCTGAATGTAGTTTTTAACCACTGAAGGCTGAGAAATAGCGCCTAGACCCTTCTCTAGTGGAATCTGGGAAAATTCCATTAGTTCAGCTGGAACCCCAAATAAATTCTGAATAGACTGCAGGGTGTCCACAGTGGTCCTTTCTGTTAAAGGCATTTGAGAGTAAAATTCCCTTTCCATAGTAGTACCTAAGCTATTCCCCATCATTAACATAGTGGAGAGATACTTTCTAGGTAGCCGTTGCCTATGGGAGTGATTCTCCCAGACGTTCTGTTGTCTTCCCAAAGCAGACAAGGTAAGCCTTTTTTGTGTCCCTGATCTACTGTGAAAGGTGATAGATGGAAATCTCCGGCTTTGTGGTGGATGTTGGAAGATGCTCCTAAGTGAGTTGTTTAGCGTCTCCACTTGTTTGATCTTAGTCCTCTCCTTGGATACTATATCCACACCTGGGATCTCAGAGTGTGTGGTTTCTACAGTATTGCCTGTCTTATTAGAGGATTGATTATGAAAGGTTAAGGGAAGAGTTAGAGATTGTACTATAAAAGGACCTGTGAAGGACTCTTCAGGCTGCAAAATATCTTTCTCAAGGTTTTTTGTATCTAAAGTTCTTGACACTTCTGGCTTCTCAGAATCAAAAAGACCTCCAAATTCAGATGATGTTTTGATAGAACTTGAGATGAATGAGTTTGAAGAGCTCTGTAGAAACCTAGAGAAGTAATTTCCTATTTGTATCTCTTCTGATGCTAACTCTCCACATTCTCTAGTCCGATATCTCTGTCCAAGATTCAAATCCTCAGATTTCATGACTTGGGGAGGCTCTGTTTTTCTTCCTAAAGATTGCACAGACTGGAGGTTTTCTTCATGAGTCAACACTGTAAGTTCTGTGAATGGAAATGTTGGCTGCGAGGTAAATTTGGCCGATTTCACTTCAGTTTTTGACCTTGGAGTTAACTCTGTAGGTTCTACTTTTTCTCGAAGATATGGATTTGGGAATAAATCCACACAATCTATTACTTCAAACCCCAATCCTAGGGTTACTCCTATTGGTTCTACAATCTGAGGGATTGGTCCTGGGGCTAATTCCTCAGAGTTTACAATTTGAAGTGATGGCCCAGGGATTAACACACTCTTTACAATTTGAAACCCTGTCAACTTCATTATTTCCAAAATCTGGTGTGCTGGTTCTCTAATGGATGGCTTACATTTCACATTTTGCAAACATGACACTGAAGTTCCTGCATTTTGCAGTTTTGAAGTAGACTTAATATATTCTACCATTTGAGAGGCTACTCGTGGCATTAACGTCACAGACTTCACAACTTGAAATGGTGGTCCTGAGGTCACATTCACAGATTCAACAATTTTTTGGGGAGTTGCCTGTACTGAATGAGCAGTGTGATTCTGTGTCTTTGTATGTTTTGTGAATCGATTGAGCGACTTTGGACTAATCCCCTTAAATTTTGCATTTTGATCCAGTGGTCCTTGGGCTATCTCTGAGTTTGTCTTACTTTGTTTCTGTAACTGTGTTAGTGGTATTGATCCCTTTCCTCGCTGCCATGTTTCAGAAATGAGCTCTACAGACTGTACATGATTGGGGGACAACTCTAAAGACTTCTCCTTTTCAAGCCAGTGCTGAGAGCTCAAGCCCACAGATTCTGGTATTTGATGTCCTAACCCTAATATTATATCTGAAGGTCCCAAGTGATCCTGTGACTCTCGGGTCAAGGTCATAGGTTCCTCCACTTGCAGCCCTGTCTCTACAGTCAACTCCACTGATTCAGGAACTTGATGTCCAAACCCTAGTATCATCTCTGAAGATTCTGGGACATGCTGTAACGTCTTTGTAATCAATGCTACAGATTCTTCCCTTTGCCATCTTTCCCCTGATATTATCTCCATAGGTTCTAAGACTTGAGGGTAGGACCTTGGAGATCTCTTTCTATGACCATTGGTTTTACTTATTGGCTTTGACTTTGGGATCATTCCAAGGAATTCTTCCTTTTGCAACCTTGCCTCAGAAATCAACTCCATGGGCGGTGAAACATGATGCTTGTATTCTGGAGTCATTTCTCTAGATTCCTCAACTTGTTGCAGTGGGCTCATATGTAACTCCCCCAAATCGGTAACTTGAGACTCTGACTGAGAGAGCAACTCCAGGGTATCTGAGTTGTAGTAGCTTTTCTCTGAGGTTAATTCTAAGAAGTTTAAATCCTCATTCATTTGCACTGGAGTCAGGCCAACAAATTCTGGTATTTGAAAGTCTAACTCCAGAGGTAACACTGAAGATTCCATAGCTTTATCAGATATCTCTACAGTCTCAGTGCTCTGATATGCCAAACTTTGTGCCATCTCTAATGGTTCTGAGGTGTGATAAGTTGGTGGATTCAAATTCACAAATTTAGGGACTTGATGCCTTGGCTTTGGGATCATCTCTGCATGGTCTACAAAGTGATGTCCTGCCCTAGTGATTACTTTAGAGGAGTCTGTGCTTTGATGGTTTATTCTTGGAGTTAGCTCCTCAGATTTCACTTTTTGAGGCATTGACCCTGGTGTTAATTCCACAAAATTTGGAGTTTGTTTCAGAGACACTGAAGACAATTCCACATGTCTTACATTTTGCAACTTTGGGTCTGGAATTAACTCCAAGGATTTCATGCCTTGTTGATGTGATTCTGGTGACATATTTGAAAGTTTGACACTAGTCAATATTGGTCCAGGTGTGAATTTCTTAGTTGAGTCTGAGGTCATCACCACTGATTTCACACCTTGCCACCCTGAAGTCAACTCTTGGCAATTCATACCTTGCTGTTGGGACCCTGGTATTAACTCTACGTACTTTGCATCTTGAAAAGATGACTCAGGCACAGAGGCTTCCAGTTGAACGCACTGTGATGTGAGGCATGATGAAAACCCTAAAGAACTTTGAGGTTGTGACTGTAGGTTTGACTTCATAGATTTCACATCTTGAGAAGATGGCTCTGATCCAAACACCATAAATTTCTGCCTGAGGTCAGAATTCAGCTTCTTAGAGTTCATATCTTGAGGTTGTAGCTGTGCTTTCAACTCCAGAGATTTCACATCTTCAATATTTGGCTCTGGTGCAAACACCACAGACCTCACATTGTGTTGCCTGAGGTGTGAGGGTGACTCCTTAGAATTCATAATTCTAGGATGTGGCCCTGATATCCCTTTTTTTAAACATGACTCTAAGGCAGATACCTTACATTTCATGCCTTGCAACTCAGAGCCTGAAATCAATTTCCCAGAAATGGAACCACACAACAATGGTTCTTTTTTCATCTTCACGGGCTTTATATTTTCAACTAATGGCTCTGATAAAAATGCTCTAGATTTCTCAGCACTTAACTGAGGGCCTGAAGTGAACACAGATTGTTGCTGTGATCCAAAGTGGTTCTCCAAAAATTGAACTTCTGGAACGTTGGTTGCTGGAGTTAACTCTGAAGAGTTTACATCATGCAAATGTGGTCCAGGGTTGCGCAGGAGAGATGTATCTTGACATTCTGGCCCATTGTTTAATTCAGAGGATTTCATACCTTGCACCTGTGACCCTGGATTAAATCTAATGGAGTTTATGCATTGATGTTCTGACCCTGAATTCAACTCAGAAAAATTCACACCTTGTAGCTGTGGGCCCGAATTAACCTCCTTTGATGATGTACCTTGAAATTTTGTTCCTGGAGTCAAGTCACATTGTATATCTTGTAAATGTTTCACAATGTCAAATATAGCAGATTTTATATCTTGAAGTTCAGACCCTGGATTCAGATCAGAAGATCTCATATCATTATATTTTGTCCCTGCAGTCAATTTAGAAGATTTTACACCCTGCAAGGGTGGCCCATGTTTGCAGCCCATAGAATTCACACTCTGGAATTTTGGCCCTGGATTCAATTCAGAAGAATTTGTACTCTGCATCTGTGGCCCAGGATTGCATTCCTTCAGTATTATACCTTGAAAGTTTGGTTCTGGACTCAATTTAGAATTCAAACCTTGACAATATGGTCCAGAACTAAATGTAGATGTCTTATTTTGAATTTCTGTCCCGGCATTCACCTCAGATTCCTTGTCCTGAAATTTTGTCCCTGAAGTCAGCTCAACAGATTTTACCCCCTGCAAGGGTGGCCCATGTTTGCAACCCATAGAATTCACTCTCTTGAGTTTTGGCCCTGGGTTTGACTCAGGAGAATTTGCACACTGCATCTGTGGCCCAAGGTTGCATTCTCTTGGTGCTACACTTTGAAACTTTGACTCTGGATTCAATACAGATTTCAGACCTTGACAGCATGGCCCAGGGTTACATTCAGTAGAATTTACACACTGGAGTTTTGGTTCTGGAATCAATGCAGAAGAATTCGCACATTGTGACTGTGGCCCAGTGTTAAAATGTATACACTGAAGTTGTGGTCCTGAATTCATTCCAGAGGATTTTCCACCTTGTAATTTAAGCTCATGTTTGAATTTCAAACATTGTTCATTTGGAAGCTTTGTGTTTGTGCTCAACTCAGGTTTCATCTCTTGCAACTGTTGATCAGGATTGAATTTCATAGATTTCACATTTTTAAGATTTGTCTCTTTGCCAGTTTCTGAAAATTTTATATGTTGCAAATGTGGTCCAGGATTGAACAGATTCCAATTACAAGATTTCTCATCTTGCCATTGCTTTGCTGCATTGAATTCAGAAGATAATGCATCCTGATTCTTTGATTTCAAGGCCAGCTCTAAGGGTTTTACAGTCTGAAAGTTGGGGCCATGCTTGACTTCTGTGGAGTTGTTTATTTGAAGCTTCGTCAGCTTACAAGATTTTGCATATTGCAGCTCTGCCACAGAGCTGAATTCCACAGATTTCACACCTTGAAGTTGTGTCCCTGGTGTCAACATAGACAACTTCCCACCTTGTAACTGTGGGGCTGAGTTGGATTCCAAAGACTTCATATTTTCTACCTCTGTACCTGGAAGCAACTGAAAAGATTCCCTGTCTTGCCGTGTTGGCCTGGTGTTGAACTCCACAGATTCTCCACCTTGAGATTTTGTTTTTGGTGTTAACTCACATGTCACACATTGTAACTGTGGAGTGGGTTTTAACTCAACAGATTTCAAGTCTTGAAGTCTGCACTCTACAATCAAATCAGATGTCTCATTTTGTCTCTGTGATGGAGGGTTCAACTCCACAGATTTCATACCTTGAAGATTCTTCCTCTGGGTTAAGTTAGATTTCCCATTTTGTAACTCTGCGCTATGATTGAACTCTAAGAAGGTCACATCTTGAAGCTTTGGTCCTTGACTCAACTCAGAAGATTTTTTACTTTGTATCTGTGGCCCAGAGTTAGAAGTAGATTTTATGTCCTTCAACTTTGTTCCTGGAATCATTTCAGATGATTTCAGACCTTCAAAATGTGGTGTAGAACTGAATTCCATAGATTTTACATTGTGAAGCTTTATACCCATGATCAGCTCAGAATATTTCATATCTTTTAACTGTGGACCTGGGTGCAACTCTGTGGATTTCATACCTTCACACTTCCTTTCCAGGGTCAAGTCAGAAGATTTCTCACCCAGTAACTTTGGACTAGGTTCTAATTCTGCAGATTTCACATCTTGGAGCTTTTCCCTGGGGGTACCTTCAAAAGATTTAAAGTCATGAAAGTATGGTCTAGACCTGCAATTAGATTTTACACCTTGAAGTTTTATACCCATGATCAACCTAGAAGATTTCATATCTTGCAACTCTGGGTCAGACTTGAATTCTCCTGATTTTGCTTTTTGAGGTTTTGCCCCCATTGTCAACTCAGAGGATTTCTCACCTTGTAAATGTGGCTCAGGTTTGGAATTCACAGATTCCCTATCCAGAAACTTTGTGTCTGAGATTAACTTAGACGATTTTACTCCTTGTGACTGTGACACAGGGTTGAATACCAAGTTCCCAGTTTGAAGTTTTGGTCCCAGGATTGGTTCAGAAGATTTTGTAACTTGCATCTGGGGGTGGAGGTAGCATTCTTTATGGATTTCATCTTGAAGTTTTGTCTTTGACGTCACTTCAGAACATTTTGTACCTTGTATCAGTGGCTCCATGTTGAAATCTGTGGGTTTAACATCTGGAATTGTTGTCCCTAGAGCCAATTTAAAAAGTGGTATATCTTGCAACCAAGAGCCAGAATTTACCTTAAGAGATTTCATATCCTGGGATTTTGTCTCAAGTAGCAATTTAGAGGATTTTAGACTTTGCCACTGTGACTCAGAGTTGAACTCTTCAGATTTCACACCCTGAAGTCTTGTCTGAAGAGTCAACTCAGATGACTTCCTGCTTTTTGATTTGAGTGGACAATTCAACTCTATAGCTTTATCGTTTTGTAATTGTGATCCTTGACATGCTACTCCAGATTCCACCCTAGAAAGCTGTGGCTCTTGTGTAAACACTGGCGATTTCACACCCTGAAGCTGTGTTCCTGGACACGACTGTGAGGGTTTCCCTTCTTGATGCTGTGGCCCTGGAATCAACTCAGGACAGTTCCCATTTTGCAGCTGAAGCCTTGATTTGAATATGATGGATTTTAAATCACGGAGCTTTGCCCTTGGAGTCAGATCACGGGATTCCATACGCCTGAACTGCAGACAAGTTTTCAAATCAAAACCTTGAGGCTGGTGCTCCTGAAGTGAAGCTAATGATTGTTTACCTTGGAGTTTTGGTCTTGGAGTCAACACAGATGACTTGCTATCTGTTATCTCCATCAAAGGTTTTAATTCTGTAGGTTTGACACATTGGGATTGTGACTCAAGATTTAGCAGAGATTTCACCCCTTGAAATTTTGAAACAGGCATCCATTGAATAGATTTCATGCTTCCAAGCTGTAGCTCTGGGTTTGATGCCATAGTTTTTACACCATGAAGCTGTGACTGCGAGGTTGATACAAACTTTTCCCCTTTTTGCAGCTGTGGTTCTGAAGGTAACTTAGGGGATTTTTCTCCCTGTAGCTGTGGCCCAAGGTTGAACCCCACATATGGTACACCTTGAATTTTTGGCCCCGGTGTCAATTCAGATGACTTCACATCTTTTGATTGTATCAAAGATTTTGACTTTGCAGATTTGGCACTTTGAAGTTGTGACCAAAGATTTAACCCTACAGATTTCATGCCCTGTAACTCAGATATTGGTATCCACTGATCACATCTCCTTCTTTCAAGTTGCGGCTCTTGTTTTGACTCAAGAGTTCTACTATCTTGAATTTGTGGCTTCAAAGGCAACTCCAGAGGTTTCATGTAGTGCAACTGTGGTTCAAGTTTGAACTCTTTCAGGTTTACACCTTGAATATTTGATTCTGAGTTCAATTCTAATGATTTTCTACCTTTCAACTGTAACTGAAGATTACAGTCTACTAAATTCTCATCTTTAACTTTTGCCTCTGGAATTAACTCCAAACACATCCCATCTTTTGTCTTAGAACCTTTCTTCAGTTGCTGTGAATTCACATTTTGCTGCTCTGGTAGAATTACAGATACCACAACATCATCTGGCCTCGGACTTAAATCCATAGGTGTCAGCCCTTGACATTGTAGTGTTGGGACTGCAGATTTTACTCCTTGATACTTTTGTCTTCTTATCTCATTCACTGATTTTACTATCTGCTTCTTCAACCTTGGGGTCAACTTCACAGATTTCACGTATTGTTGCTCTGGGTCTGGAGTCTCCATTACAGATTTTGAACTTTGAAGTTTAAAACATGGAATATGCCCTACTAATTTCGTATCTGACTTCTGTGGTTCTGAGGTCAATTCCTCAGGTT